TTCACAAAAAAACAAAATGCAAGTCAAAACTGTGAATAAAATTTTAATTTCCTGTCACAGAGCTTATTACCTTCAAACCACAGAATTAACATTGATACTTTGAGTTATCTGGCATTTCTAGAATGGAAGTATTGGAGTTTTAAAATAAGACATCTCTTCAGGTGTAGGTATATGTGTATGAATGAGATTGCTTTTAACTTCTAACGTATTTCAAACAGTTCACAAAACAGTTTTTTAAATATATTCATATACTTTTGGTTACAAATTATATCAATTTCTTCTTTAGTGGCTGCCACCAGCAAAAGACTCAGAATGGGCTACTATATCCACACATTTCAGGGCAATTTCTTCTAGGGCATTCAAGTAAATGTGTTTCCTAGACTTACACATTACTTCTCATTGGCCAATATATTATATGTTATGGATCTATATTTCATTTTACCACTTTCCCTACAAAGCAAATCTAATCAGAGAAGGTTGTGTAGTAGAAAACTAACAGTATGACGATTTTTGCCAGGTTCAGGGAAAGAAAATTGGGTAATGCCATTTTACTACCCAAAATATATCACATATGTCTTCTAAGTAAACTTCATATTTGGAACATCTCCATGAATTATAATTGTCGAGTTTTTATTAAATATTTCCTATATATGCATGTTTTCTCACAAGATGCAGTTCAAGTAACATAAATTAATTTTTGCTTGAGAGGTTGCAGTGTTTTACAATATTAAAATCTTTTACCTTTTACTATATAATCTGACCAATGTAGTTCCTAGACATCTGAATATTATTTATCCAACTTTTTCTAGCCTGTAAAAACACAGATTTCAAATATGCCTAATATAATCTAAATTAATCTGGTAAGTGTTAAAAATCATAGGTAGGGAAGTGTTTCATTTCTGAGAAATTAATCGTATTTAAAATTTGCTTAACTGCACTAAAACTCAAGTTTCTAAACCAATCAGAATGTTGAATTTAAATAAAAATTGATGAATGGCTATCATAGTCTTTCTTGAACATCCATTATATGCATTCACCAAATCTACATTTAGCATAAGTTATAGTAACGTTAGCTGACCACAGATTTAGTTTCTTTTGCATTGAAAATAAAAGTCTTAGCTTAGTATGAACTTTTCCCCCATAAATACCTTTGGCTTGCCTTGGCATTTATGCAGCAGCAGGAGACCATTATCCAGTGACACATTCTATCCCACTGACATTATCACTCAGAGATGGTCGATTTCATTTTCAGGAAGGTCCCAGAGAGCCACAGACAAGTTACAATCAATCACACAACCACAATTGCTAGCTGAGTCACATTACTCTCAAAACAAAAAAATAAGGAGAACACAAATATACTAATGCATATTTAAATTTCACATTTAGCTCCTAAAGAACTGATAAATTATAGCCTATCTTCACATTAACAATATCTTCATGTTTAATCCATGCTTACTTTTCCCCCCGACATAAATAAATACGAGAATGAGTTTAAATACTTTGCAGTGTGGATATAGAGTACAATCTTGCCGGGTGCTCTGGGTAAGGTGCAGTAATTCTATATAACAGGTCATCTATGAGTGAAAATGAACAGGAAGCTTTGAAGTTTGTCAAGCAAAGCTGGATATGGATCAGGCTAGGCCTAGGGGATAAAGGTAAGCAGAACACAGGTTGGGCAAGTGGTAAGTATAATGGTAAATGAAATAACTGCTAGGATGAAATTAGGCTGAGCACAACACAAGGATAAGGACAGAGTCAGGAATTCAAGTGCCTGGGTCTGAAAGAGCTTTAGACAGAGACAGTCTGTTTCTATAAAGAGTATTTCAGGAAGGAATTTTCCTAGATATTGAGCGAATTCTACAAAATGGGCTTTAGACTGTCAACTAAAGAATTAGGAGGTTCATAAATTTAAAAAGGAGAGCTTATTTCTCATAAAGGGCTGCAGCCTGCAGAGTGGCCTTTCTGATGGGCTGGGAAGCATAGCTTCTCCCCAGGAGCTTAAAGCAGATGCTTGGAGGGAGGGGCAAGGGAACAGGAATTATTGCTAGGCAAGGCACTCCGTTGTACATATTTAATAAGCTATAGGAGGAGCCATGCAGATTTATGAAAGGAGAAACATTCATATGCACAGTTGAGCTTCATGCCCCTTCGTGAGCCCATGAGCAAAAATGGTAGCATTTGCATTATTGGAGGATGGAGTTCTCAGCCCTCTAACATCCAAAGGTGAAGCAGAGGACATGAATCATGGTGTTCGGAATCACACCATGGTTGGTGGGGTCTCATCAGGAAGGCTGTTTGGTTGTTGTGCCAAAACTGAAAAAGGAGGGGCAGTATCAGGCCATTGATTGATATCACCTGTGAAGTTTTTAAAACTGTCTGGTTTCTGTTCAGCTCTTAGGGAAGAAGAAAGCTTAATTGTGGTCAGCAAGGGAGCAGGTATAATGAGGCATGTCCTCCTTCTTATCCTGTCATGGCTGAGAACTCAGTTTTAAAGGTTATTCTGGGGTCCCCTTGGGCAAGAGATGGTCCATTCAATCAGTTAGAGCTCTTAAGATTTTACTTTTAGTTCTCGGGACTGTCTCTCTCAAATCCTGGTTCTTTCTCTTTCTCTCTCTCGTTACAAAAAGAGCCATATTCCTATGTGTTAGTTGAAGAATTTGAAGAGCCTTAAAGTCAATTTTTTTTTTTTAGTTTCTGTTTCGAAAGCTGGAATTATGTCTTGTGACCTGATATGGAATTTCACTGGTCTATGTCATGTGGTAATATGAGCAAATTAGCAAGTTGGTTGCTGTTCTCCTCTTAAACTCTCACTAAGGAGGAGGAGGATCAGATGTTTATTAAACCCTCCTGTGCTACTCCAGGTGCCTCACAGGTTTTGAAACCACCTTCATCAAAGTTAAAAAGGCCACAACATTAACATTGTGGTGAATTTGGGTAAGATAGTTTCGTTTCTCTCTGACTTTTTCTTGCTCCATGCATGATTGCTTGTACATAGTCATTTCAACAAATGGTAGTCACTAATAATTGATTATCTTCCTGTCCCAGCCTCTGGGCAGGCTGCCCGCAGGATTAATGAAGTTGTTTTCCTCTTAAAGAACAATGATCGTTAAATCATGCAGCCCCTCTCCATGACTTCCAGAAATTGGACTGGCCAAGAAGGCGGGGTGGTGGGCAGCTTTGATCACTGGGGATCTCACCTCCTGCAGTCTTTCCTGCTAAGCTAAAGGCATAGTTCAATGATAACTGCCATTGTTTTCAGCTTTTTTTCGATAGCAATCGGGAACCACAAACACTATTCTAAAACCTAAGACTGGTCCTTGAGATATTTTTGAGACTTTGCCTACAAATGGACCAACCGATACCAACGAACAGGTAGCCCATGACCTTAACCAAGGAACTGACTTGACTGGTAGTAACTTCCCCACTTCCCAGGAACTGATTCAGTGCATGAAGACAGCTTCAACATCTCTGTGATTTCATCCCAAACCAGTCAACACCACCCATCTTTCTGCCCACAAAATCGTCTTCAAAAACCATAGCCTCTGAAGTCTCAGGAAGGGGGCTTTGAGAAATACCCACCATCCTCGCTTGGTTTACTTGCAATAATTAAACTCTTTCTTTAGTGCAATACCTGCTGTTTCAGTGTTCAACTCTATCTGGGCGGTGGGCAAGAACCTGGTCAGATGGTTACAGTTTCACCAGCAAGGAAACCAAGACTTAGCAAAATAAAAAACCTTAAGCCATGTTTAAGTTCATTAATAAGTAAGCTGATCCTACTGGCTTGGCCTCTTAATAGTCAGACCAGTGGCCTTTCCACTTTATCAAATGACTTCTCCATGTAGCCTGTTTCACTCAATCCAGGAGAGAGGCCTAGCTAGTAAGTATTAGAGCAGTAGAGGTAGATTTTATGGAATTCAGTTGTGAAAGCATTTTCTGTGAAATGCTTCCCTTTATAATGTGAATGGAAGGCTATTGGACTTGGTTAGTGGAATAAAGAAACTGAATTACCAAAAAGCTTTCCCATTGCTATCCATAATTGAGAAGAGAGCTCAAAATATCAGACATGTTGTTATTTTCCACATTACAATTTACTATTACGTGAGTTCTATTAAGTTTATTAAGATGTTTAGTCATCCTCTAAAGAGCCCCCAAAGAAATGAACAACTCTTTTTAGAGTTAGCAATATTTATCAACAAAATAAACACAATGATATATGTATATAAAATTTATATGCACAGAGATATTAAAGTTTTGGGTCAATTTGTTTAAATATCCTTGAATTCAGTTATAAAATGGAGAATATGAGTAAAATAAAATACTGGTTAAAACACATGCTAGTACCAGATTTTCTGGTTCAAATAGTGCATCTGCCACTTACTAGGTGTGTATTCTTAGGTAAGTTTTCTGTGCGCTAATCTTTCTGTAGGTAAAATGGGGCTAATTAGAACAACTTTGAAAATGAATTAATATACAAAACCAAAAACCCACTCAGAATAATGATTGGCCCATAGTAAGCACATTATTAGCTTTAGATGTTATTGTAGTTAACGCTAACATTCATTCTAGGTCTATAATCTGATAATTCTATTAATGTATCATCTATGATAATTTTCTTTGAAACTATGAATTTTATAATAATTAGAAGCTATTATTTTGACTTTTTAGAAGCAGTACAGCTAATTTATTCTTGATTTCTATAACCAGAATTAATCACATGCCACATGAGCGTTAATAAATGTAACTTTAAATTAGTGGTTGTCGTCCACCCTGCGCAGTTAGGTGTCTGTGTTGGCTGTCTGATACACTTCCCTTAACGTCAGCTTTCTATGGCAGAGGTGCTCAATGATAATGGATGGGATCTAAGTGTCCTTATGAAGGAAGTGTTTGCTGGTGATTCTGTGGCACCTCTCTACCTATCAAAATTGGTGCCATAACAAGAACTCTAAATGAGAATTACCATTTGCACTATTGAATCTCTTTTTAATACCTAATAGGCCCCCGCCCAGGAGCCCGAAGAGTGCCGGAGCCTGGCCCGGGCCGCTGCCGGGTCCCTGGACTCGGGGCTGGACGCAGCAGGCGGGGCGCTGTGTCCCAAAGCTCCCAGTCCTCGGCTAGGTGGGCACCACGGCAGGGGCTGAGCTACCCTCATGGAAGGGAGAGGACCGTACCGGATCTACGACCCTGGGGGCAGCGTGCCCTCAGGAGAGGCATCCGCAGCTTTTGAGCGCCTAGTGAAGGAGAATTCCCGGCTGAAGGAAAAAATGCAAGGGATAAAGATGTTAGGGGAGCTTTTGGAAGAGTCCCAGATGGAAGCGGCCAAGCTTCGGCAGAAGGCAGAGGAGCTAGTGAAGGACAACGAGGTGCTCCCACCACCTTCTCCCTCCTTGGGCTCTTTCGACCCGCTGGCTGAGCTCACAGGAAAGGACTCAAATGTCACAGCACCTCCCACTGCCCCTGCATGCCCCAGTGACAAGCCATCGCCAGCCCAGAAGCCTCCATCCAGTGGCACCTCCTCTGAATTTGAAGTGGTCTCTGCTGAGGAGCAGAATTCTCCGCCAGAGAGTAGCAGCCATGCCAATGTAATGGCGCTGGGCCCCCTGCCCCACGAGGACGGTAACCTGATGCTGCACCTGCAGCGCCTGGAGACCACGCTGAGCGTGTGCGCGGAGGAGCCAGACCACGGCCAGCTCTTCACCCACCTGGGCCGCATGGCCCTGGAGTTCAACCGGCTGGCGTCCAAGGTGCACAAGAATGAGCAGCGCACCTCCATCCTGCAGACCCTGTGTGAGCAGCTTCGGAAGGAGAACGAGGCTCTGAAGGCCAAGCTGGATGAGGGCCTGGAACAGCGGGATCAGGCTGCTGAGAGGTTGCGGGAGGAAAATTTGGAGCTCAAGAAGTTGTTGATGAGCAGTGGTAACAAAGAGGGAGCCTCTGGGCGGCCAGGCTCACCGAAGATGGAAGGGGCAGGCAAGAAGATGGTGGCCGGACAGCAGCAGGCTAGTGTGACGGCAGGTAAGGTCCCAGAGGTGGGGGCCTTGGGTGCAGCTGAGAAGAAGGTGAAGATGCTGGAGCAGCAGCGCAGTGAGCTGCTCGAAGTGAACAAGCAGTGGGACCAGCATTTCCGGTCTATGAAGCAGCAGTACGAGCAGAAGATCACAGAGCTGCGCCAGAAGCTGGCTGACCTGCAGAAGCAGGTGACTGACCTGGAGGCTGAGCGGGAGCAGAAGCAGCGTGACTTTGACCGCAAGCTCCTCCTGGCCAAGTCCAAGATTGAAATGGAGGAGACCGACAAGGAACAGCTGACAGCGGAGGCCAAGGAGCTGCGCCAAAAGGTCAAGTACCTACAGGATCAGCTGAGCCCGCTCACCCGGCAGCGCGAGTACCAGGAAAAAGAGATCCAGCGGCTCAACAAGGCCCTGGAGGAGGCACTGAGTATCCAAGCCCCCCCATCATCTCCACCAACAGCATTTGGGAGCCCAGAAGGAGCAGGGGGCCTCCTAAGGAAACAGGAGCTGGTCACGCAGAACGAGTTGCTGAAACAGCAGGTGAAGATCTTTGAGGAGGACTTCCAGAGGGAGCGCAGCGATCGTGAGCGCATGAATGAGGAGAAGGAAGAGCTGAAGAAGCAAGTGGAGAAGCTGCAGGCCCAGGTCACCCTGTCGAATGCCCAGCTAAAAGCGTTCAAAGATGAGGAGAAGGCAAGAGAAGCCCTCAGACAGCAGAAGAGGAAAGCAAAGGCCTCTGGAGAGCGCTACCATGTGGAGCCCCACCCGGAACACCTCTGCGGTGCCTACCCTTACGCCTACCCACCCATGCCAGCCATGGTACCACACCACGGCTTCGAGGACTGGTCCCAGATCCGCTACCCCCCTCCCCCCATGGCCATGGAGCACCCGCCCCCAATCCCCAACTCCCGCCTCTTCCATCTGCCGGAATACACCTGGCGTCTACCCTGTGGAGGGATTCGAAATCCAAATCAGAGCTCCCAAGTGATGGACCCTCCTGCAGCCAGGCCTGCAGAACCAGAGCCAGCTGACCTCAGATTGCCGAAAAACTAGAAGTCACATGCACAGTGCGGCCAGAGCCTCAACTGGATGAGAGGCCGAGATGGGTGGCCAGCTTGTACCCCAGTCCCTGAACTGAGCTGTTTACAAGACTAGGGAGGCTCTGCCCAGAAGGCTTTCATTTGCACTCTGCTGGGAGTGACTGGGAAAAACTCACTACCCTGCTGCTGAGTGAAGAGAGACCTCATCCAGCTCTGACCTGCCATCTACTGCAGAAGCCTCCAGGAGCAGCAATCCTAAGAGTGGGGGGCGGCCAAGACCCCCTTCCTTCACAACATCACAGAAGTGGCTTCAGGCCCTCTGGGTGCCATGACCAGTTTGTGTGTATGTTTATTTTTTTGCTTCAAGCTCTGTAGCAGGACCTGTCGCACGCACAGCCCTACCCCTCTGTGAGGAGCTGTGGGAAGTGTGGGATTGTCTCCGGAGCAGAAGAGAACGACAGATGTTCTGACTCTGGGGCCCTCGCCACCTCCACTCACAGTAGCCTCGCTGAAGCCATCACAGATGGGAGAAGGCCATGCCAGCCACGTCTGCTGAGGGGCCCCAGCCTGAAGCTGCAGGCCCTGAGGTTCAGACCCTTGACCCTGCAGCTGGAGGCCTGTGGTGCCAGAAGCCCGGATTAGGGTG